GTCCCTAATAAAGTGATGTTTTATTTCTATATGCTTAGCCCTAGAATGCAAAATGGGATTTCTATTGAGACATATGGCAAAAGTGTTATCACAGAAGATAGGAATGTTACTCTCAAATATGTTGAAGTCTTCAAGTTGACTTTTCATCCAGAGCATTTGAGTGCTACATCCAGCAGCTACTATGTATTCAGCTTCTACTATTGACAGTGTTATTGTGGACTGTCTCTTGCTGGTCCATGAGATCAGATTGTCTCCCAGAAACTGGCAGCTTCCAGAAGTGCTTTTACGCTATACTCTGTCTCCAACAAAGTCAGCATCACAGTATCCTACTAGGCTGTATTCATTGGATTTTCTATAAAACAAACCCAGATTAGTAGTACCTTTCAGATACTTGAAAATTCGCTTAACTGCTGTTAAGTGAGATTCTCTAGGATCTGATTGGAATCTAGCACATAAGCAAACACTGAATAAAATATCAGGCCTTGAAGCCATCAGATAAAGGAGAGAGCCAATCATACCTCTGTAGATTTTCTGTTCTACCTTTTTACTTACCTCTTCCTTTTCCAGAATGCACGTGGGATGCATTGGAGTCTTTGAGGGCTTACATTCTGAGAGGTCAAATTTCTTCAGAAGTTCTCTGACATATTTGCTCTGATGAATGTAAGTTCCTTCTGGAGTTTGGTTTATCTGAATGCCCAGAAAGAATTTGAGTTCCCCCATTAAGCTCATCTCAAACTCTGCCTGCATGCACTTAGCAAATTCTCTTCCTAGAGAAGGTTTAGTGGATCCAAAAATGATATCATCTACATAAATCTGACAAACTAAAACGTCATTCTTAAATGTATTACAGAACAAGTTTGTGTCCACTTTCCCTCTGGTGAATTTATTTTTTAACAGGAAGTTACTTAGTCTTTCATACTAAGCTCTGGGAGCTTGTTTCAGACCATAGAGTGACTTCTTTAGTTTGAAATCATATTCTGGGTGTATGAGAGCATGCATCAGAATGTTGACGTGTCTTCCTTTCAGGAGAGCACAACTTCTGAAGCTTTAAGTCTGAGTTCCATACTTTCAGAAGGTTCACAACTTTTGAACACTATAATATCAAGCAAGTTTACCTTACTTTCAGTAAGTTTATAACTTCTGAATTGTGTTTGGTACATCTGTTTGAATATTCATATATTCACAAAGTGTACAAATTCTTACACATAAAATCAGAGTTGATTTCACCCATAAGGTTCTCAACCTTAGCATCAGGATCTTCATATTCAACATGTCTTTAGAATACACAGTGAACTTGTTCAAAGTTCCTGGATTGAAACATCAAACAAACAGTTAGTAGTAACAACATTTTATATGTTTGAGTTTAAGATTATGAGAATAAGTATTTATCAAAATTATTTTACTTTCTCCCCCTTTGTCAGAAATAAAAAAGGTAATTAAGAGAAAAAAACATATTCAAGAGTATTAATAAAAGAAGCAAAGTAGAAATCATAAAAACACATTTCTATTGATAGAGGAGTACAGACAACACACAATAAGCGGGACTACAAGTGATATAATTTAACCAACAGAAGAAGCAAATTTCATTGATTAAAAATGAAGAAGTACTTATAAATAGTTTTAATTTCTATCTTGATCTATAGTTTTTAAAAGAAATGTTTGGTAAGACTTAATGAAGATTTAAAATATTGAGACAATTTTTTTTGAAGATAACCAATCAATCGGATAAGACTTCATTAAACACATGGGTTTAAAATATAATTGTTTTAGAAACAGAGGAAAATAAATCTTAAGTTCTAAGACAGGATCTAATCCTAAGATTTCTTGTTAAACTTATCTAAAAACTGCTTCAACATTTCAGTCATCTGATTGAAGGAAGTTGCTCGAGCTAGACTCGTTTCCTCCTGTCTTTTCAGACGCTCTTGAATAATCTGATTAAATTATTGCATCTTCTTTAGGGTTTCCTTTATCCCATAAATTTCCTTTTCAACATCCATAGCAGGTATCACACCAGAGCTTGAGGGTTGGTTTTTAGTTGTCACTGAAACAGTATCAGAGGTATTTGAAGGGCACACAACTTCTAAACCAAGAACCACTTGTCTTGTAGGTTTTGGAGAAGGAAGACACAAAAGAGGTGAGGATAAGAATTCAAGCAGTTCCTTATATTTTCTTTTGGCTTCTTGACAACAGACAGATTGCATGACATTAGAATTGAAATTCATCCCTCTAACGCGTCAAGCGTCTGCCCGCCAATTTAAACCATAACCCGTGCATGGAGCGATCTCCCTGTCTGCTGGGTTTAATACTGCACGTAGAAACTCATCAGAAGCGTATGAAGATCGTAACAAAAACCCAGAAACAACCCTAACTTCGCCAGAAAATTCACCACGAATCGCCATCACCAGCCCTAGGTCCAAACATATCTAAATGGATACACGATGGAGGTGACACCCTCATGTGGTAAAACCATTGTCGGACGCCAACAAACCGTCGGAAAACTCCACAAAAAGCTACTTTAATCCTAACCACATGCATTTCTAAGGACAAAATCATGGAATCTAACCTAAAACAAAGATAAAAGTCCCAAAAATGGGGAAGAACTGAGAAACTTACATGGTCGAGGAGGACTGACGGCATAACGAGCAGAAATTGCGGTAGTGTACGATGATGCTTTGTAAGACCGGAAGGAACGAGCAGATGAGAGATGGAAAAAAGTATAAATGGGGCTCCCTCTCTCCTATTTATAGGCAGTTCTGCCTGCACGTGAGCAATCATGCGCCTAGGGAAACCTGGGGTCGTCATCATTAATCCCTAATCTTTAGACTTGCCATCATTGCACATTTATGACAGCGTGTGGCTCGATGCAAGCGCATCACGCTAACCCTTCAAGATCCAATCAATTGTTTTTCTCCCTGTGGGTCGAGCACACCGAGCAACGCTCGAGGTCCTCGTACGAAATTGTCCCCGATAAAATGTGAAATGCCCCCCCAATCACGAACACGTCTTAAGTCATCATCACTCCTTTGCCCATAAGCAACGACTTAGGGGCCTTATGTTCTGGATTGGCCCAATAGCTAGAATTGGCCCAATCCGCTTCTACCCTCAGCCAGACCCAACAAACATTGGCCCATTAACTATGGTCTTCGATCGAGCACGCTTGGTCAACCACACCGCGAGAATGTCGAGGATAACGGTGCCCTGACTAAATGTATGTCCGCATCAACGTCCACCTTTAGGTCTGCTCGCTATGCGTCGAGTAGATAACTAGGAAGACACTCACAACGTGTCTTCCCGTCATCTCATCCTTGCTTGAAGCAATGACTAGTTATTGGCTTGACTGTCCGTTTTGACCAGGTCCTGGCAGTTACCTATTTTTGGGGAACCTAATATCTAGGCCCAAAAATAGGAACCAATGGCTACGCGGGGGCATTATATAAACCCTCACACTTGTGAGGACCAAATATCAAATATTCACATTAAAAACCCTAATCTCTTTCTTGTATCTCTTTGCATTTTTTCTCACTAGATCGTCGGAGTGCCTTACATGTACACCCCCTCCTCTCCTCATCCTTCCAACCAAACACACGTCATCTTTCGGTCCACTTTCAGGTTCTGATCAATCGGTAAGATCAAAAACCAAATTCAACGAGACAACTCTCCCTTAGAGAGTCATAAACCTATTCCTCAAAGAAGCCAACCTAATGGACACAACCTTGACTAGAGGATCCTAGGTTCCTTCCTTCTTATTATTAGCACCCATCAGAAGCCATACATACTTAAAAGGAATACTACCAACTTTATAATGCAAAAAACCCTCGGTCAGGTCCAAAGACTTTCTTTCCACATTAATTCCAAAGATACAACTCTTGAAACTAAACAAACACTTGTTTATTAGTCTTCCTTATTTGTAATATACTTTACCCTCTCCGTTTCAAGTTTTAAAATGATTAACGTTTAAAATTTTGTCACATATATTAAAGAATAGAGTAATATTATTATAGAACATTACACTTATACAAAATTAATCATATTAATTTGGGTAGAAAATAACGCATAAAGTAATAATTAAATAAAACAATTAAAAAATAACGTAAAAAATAACATTCATTTTAAAATAATTTTTTATATATTAAAATCAAATAAGGATTCTCTCTATTTTTTAAAAGAAATTGAGGTATCCATTACCATAATTTTAATAGTATATAAATGTATAACTAATAACACTATTTTTAGAAATGTATACAAATATATTATATTATTTATTTATATCAAAACTATAATAATAAACACCTTTATTTGTGTTGAAAGATAGATAGGATTTTGAGGAAATGTATATTTATGTGAAAGTGAGTTTATTTTTTAAAAATGTCTCCCGACACTTTATACTATGCTTAAACATTCACTGCAGTACATACTACCGAAAAAAAAAACATTCACAAATTTTGAACACGAAGCACAAGGGTAATGGGTAGAGCAAGAATAGAACCACATGATTGGTCTGATCGACATGACCAACATGACCAATAACTATTCAAGCCGGGTAGCCGACATTTAAAAAAAAAAACCGTACGGCCTCACAAGCCTAACGTAAGCAATGACAGAATCACCAAAAACGCTGAACAGTCACACGTGCATACCACCACTCAAACACTGCCACGTAGTGGCTGCGGCCAGCTTAAAATATCACCAACATTATTTATGTGTTGAAAATACATAGATACGACCTCCACCTCGGCATACGCACGTGTCTAAATTCACTCATCACTTTCTCTCACGCTGCTATAAAATAAAACCCATCCATTGACTCTGTCTCATCGCAACTTTCATTTCACAAAACACAACATAGAACAACAACAACAACAATAATAATCATCAACCAGAACAAGAATCATCGTCAACAACAACAATAATCATCAACAAGAACAAGAATCATCGTCCACAACAACAACGAGAATCATCAACAACAGAGTCAACGTTTGAAGAAGCCTTCACAAACGCGAATGCAAGGTGAATTAGAGTTACCACCTGGTTTCAGATTTCATCCAACTGATGAAGAATTGGTGAATCACTACTTGTGTAGAAAATGTGCTGGTCAATCAATTTCTGTTCCTGTTGTTAAAGAAGTTGATTTGTATAAGTTTGATCCATGGCAGCTTCCTGGTACTTCATTTTTTCATTTATGAATAATTTCTTTTGTTACATTTCTTTCTAATTGCATATGAATGATAACTTTTTTTTTGCTTATGTATATGCAGAAATGGGTTATCACAGTGAGAAAGAATGGTATTTCTTCTCTCCGAGGGATCGAAAGTACCCGAACGGTTCTCGGCCTAACCGGGCTGCCGGAAGTGGTTACTGGAAGGCTACCGGAGCTGATAAACCAATTGGGAAAGTGAAGCCAATGGGAATAAAAAAGGCACTGGTTTTCTATGCTGGTAAAGCCCCCAAAGGAGTGAAAACTAATTGGATTATGCATGAATATCGTCTTGCCAACGTTGATAGATCCGCCGGCAAGAAAAACAATTTGAGGGTATGTTTAGTGTGCAATTAGTTTGATTTCTCAAATTATTGTTGGTGATGTTTAAGTGTTTGTGTTAATGCTTGGAAGAAATTTATCTGATTTTAGTTTGGTTTTTGATTTGCAGCTTGATGATTGGGTGTTGTGTAGAATTTACAACAAGAAAGGAAAGATTGAGAAATTCAACACTGGCAACACAGTAGAGGTTCATAATTACTTTGAGCATGAAGAAGAACATGAGAGAAAGCCAGAAGTTCAGAAGTTGGTGAATTACCAATTGTACATGGACACATCGGACTCAGTTCCGAAGCTGCACACGGACTCGAGCAGCTCCGGGCACGTGGTTTCGCCGGATGTCACGTGCGACAGAGAGGTGCAGAGTGAACCAAAATGGAATGAACTTGGGATACAGCTGGATGACGCGTTTGGTTTTGAGTTCAATTACTTGGATAATAATAGCCTTTCATTTGAGTATGAGGATGACCCTTTTGGGACCAATGATCAGTACCAAATCAACCAGCTTTCGCCGTTACAGGATATGTTCATGTACCAACAAAAGCCATTTTGATTCTGTTCTGACAGAAAATGATTCTTTTCGTATTTGGGGGTTGCCTAATTTAATTTATTTTTTAGCAGGAAAAGTCATCGTTAATTAATGCAATTACACCTAATTAACTACTGTATGTGGACCACTATGGATAATATTCTTATTCTCTGCTCTAGAGAGATCAGAGAATTGTGATTTTTGTTGACATGGACCATTTGGATTATTGGATTAGATAGGACCTAATTTGTGCACAAAAAGGAAAACTGTACAAGTAGATAGGTTCTACAGGGTGTAATTAAAAAAAAAACAGCAGGGTTATCTTATCTCCAGTAGGTGTAGATCCAAATCTAATGGTCCTGTAGAAAATTCTTGTATTGTTGCTGGTATGAAAGCATTTTTTCATATATTTGTAATATACTTTTCAATTCAAAGAGATGGAATGCTGCTTTATATTAGACTATTATATGCTTTATTTATGAATCCAGGACAGAAACAATGTTCAAAGAAAAAGACTTGCATTAAAATACAAAGCAGAACACAAAACTGCTTCCAATGAATTAATACTAATAAAAATTGATGCTGTTGATGATGTTCCTCTGTCTAGAGGTTGCTCCACTATACTAATGAGAATTGTAAACATTGTTTGTTGAGGAAAAAATCAGTGTGCTAGTATTTAGTGACTGAGTTTAGCTGTTTGAATAAGCCAATATTTTAAATTTTTTATTTTCTCACTTTCTGGTGCATGATTGTTATAATCATAACAGCTGAGATATAGCAGCCTAGCAGGTGGTTTTATAATTTTGTTTTCTACCAACTGAGATGGCATTGTATGAAATCTATCACTCAATTATAGAATCAACAAATGCATCTGATATTTGTATCAATTCCCCTTTCCAATTTAAATTCTCAAACTTTCCTGATATGCTATACTACTGATCATATTCAGTTGTGATCAGTTGGAATTGCACTTTAAATACTAAAACTCAGCGTAGACCTCTATACCATACCAATATACTATTCACACGGATATCGTTATGAGGATATCAACATTCATTTGATACAACCATATATCCTATTATTTTTCTCTGCCAGCGAGGCTATCTTTTGTAATCAAATGCTGATATCTCTTGATTTTGGAACTCGGTTACAATCTGTTGGGGCCCAACCAATCAACTGCTTCTCATTGTCAAATACCATCACTTTATCTAGCATGGACATATCTGCATAAAAAAGGGCTTTTTAATAATTCATAGTTTCAAGAGTTTTTGTGAAAAAGATAAAGCTGAAAAAAGGGGACAAAAGCAGTACAATTAATGAAAGCGATTAACAAGAACGAGCATCGAAAGAAAAGAGAAAGTAACACGATTCCTACCTCCGATTAGGTTCAGATCCTCCATTCCTACTTCAGAGCCGTTTAGAATGCCCAAGCAAACATTTCCCAAGTTCTGAAAGGACAATTTATCAGCACTCAAAATTCAAAAATGAAAAGTATCAGTTACTTGTGAAGTTATAACGATAGAAAAGTTAATATTGATTCTTGAAGAAATTGATTAGTTAGGACTTGACTCACTGATATAATCAGGTATGCTTCAGGAGGGATTTCAAATTGGGCTTTTGTTCTCCTACAGCCTGGGAAATTAAACGCAATAGGCTTGAAGTATTTTTTGACGTCATATACACTTCTAAAAGGTCTTTTTCCAGACCAACATAGAGGGAGAGTTTGGTCTTCAGGTGCTTCTTGTATAGGCTTTCCAGCTAATTCTTTTGTCAACTACATATGACAATCAAATGAAAGACCCGTGTTAAACAACGTGTCGGTATTTTCTCATATTACTGAAGAAATAAATAACCTTTATTTTTATTTGGAAAACAATTCAAATATTGACATTGTTGTGGTAATGGCTTATTCATTTTGAAATGCTTGAAATTGGAAGATGTAATGAAAATAGCTTTCAACTGACCCAAGAAATTAGTGCTTGATAAGTGTTGGAGTTGAAGTAAGTGTAAGAACTCCCAGTGTCAAAAACAGCTAAAAGATTTCCACACCCAGTCTTCTTCCCTCCAAAAATGAGTTCAGCTGGCCCTGCTGAGTAATGTTTGCTGAGAAAATTCACAAATTAACAAACAGAAAAATGAGTATCATTACATAAATGTGGAGAGCATAAAATGTGGATCTGACTTGTGAAGATCTACTTACTGATCATTTGATGACATTGGAGTCCAAGCCAATCGAGACGAATCATAAACATCTCCAAAGAAGATGTATCCTCCTCCTTGTGCACTCAAACAGTGTCCAACCACATTTCTCACCAAACCCTGACTACTCAACTGTGATACCAAGCTAGATTTTCCCCTGCCAAGACCAAGCATACCATCTACAGGGTGGTAGGAAGATTCTGGAAAAATCTGATCATATCCACATCTAGAGAAAAGAAACCAAAAAGAATTGTATTAGATAGCATGATCTACACCTCTTAATAAAAAGTTATATCTATGGTATAATCATCATGCAACATTTGTGTTTTTCCGAAACATTTCTTGCAGAAAGGATAAATTTAGATAGAACATACACATAGGGCCTGTTTCGGTTGATTTATTTGAATTTATTTATTAACATATGTTTAGGAGAGTTTATAAAAACAGCTCATGACATGTCTATAAGGTGTTGTCAACTTATTTACACAAACTCTCCATGATAGGTTGTGAAAAGACTTTTAGTTTGTATGGAAACATGTTGACTTTATTTCATCTTTTATAGAAGAAATACCTTATACATAATAAGCACTTATATGATGGCACTTATGTGCTATCCAAACAATAATATAAACTAAGTGCTTTGAGTTTGAGGTTGTTAAGCATTAAAACTAGCAAATGTTGCCAAAAAGTTACATACCCAAGTCCCATACGAACTTTAAGTTGGACTCCATTTGTAAAGTTGAGAACATAGACATCATTGACAAGTACACCAAGGGATGAGTAATAATCTGCATACTCAACTTCATAGTCACACTGATGCTGGACTTCACAGTCATAGTTATCCGTCTGATGCACGGATGCACAGAGGGGATGCCTGCAAGGGACTAAGTCATTGCTAGGCCGGTAAAGCGGATGGGGCGTCTGAAAATTAAGCAAGAATTATTGAAGATTAATTACAATAGGAGTTTTGAATCAAACAAATTCTACATAAATATATCAATTTAGCTATGTAACACCAACAATTTAGACTGAAAGTGTATTCAGGTCCGACACTGAAACATGTGATTACATTCATTTATTTTATTTTCACAAATTTTACCAGTGTCGGCATGTCCATGTTTGTGTCTGTTTCGTTAGTATTTGACAATGAGTAAAGTGAGTGAGAGTACCTGAGAGCACCGGGAGCAAGGGGCGTCACATTGAAGCCATGTTAGGTCGCTACCCGTGTCAATATCAAGAAAATATGGCCTTGGTGGATGCCCAATGTTGAGAGTCACATTGTAAAACCTGCAAATGTAAAAGGTAAGAATGAATTGTATTAATGGATTATGGAACACCTAGTCACAGTATATCTATGGCACAAACCCTGGTTGAGACAGTAAATTGAAAAAAATAATATAATTGAATGTCTTCAATTTGAAGTGTGTGCTACATATCGGTATGCTTTTAAAAGCCACGTTTGTGTATGAATGAGACAAAGAAAAACATGATTTGGGAGTGGGAAGAAACTTCAAAAAATGTTTAATTTATTCAAATTCATTGTTTAATCTATTCAAATTCATTGTTTAATCGTTACTCTTTTTCGAGGAATAAAACAACAGAACAAAACATGGAGAGGGGCCTCATGGGAAAAGCCACGAAGAAAGCAACATCGGAGAAAGAAAGGCATAAAGTGAAACTGAAGGAAAAAAGCAAAACAGATAGAATGTAAAAAAAAAAAAAAAAGTTCCTTTTACATACCCAACAGGGTAAACATTTCCGTGAACCGGGAACACGACCGATGAGCCAGAACGAAAACGGTTCAAGAACGAAGGTGATGATGATGATGATGATGAGGAGGAGGATTGTTCACTTGCAGTTGAAGTTTTGTGTTTACTACTACCGAACCAAGCTAAACAAGTAGATGAACTCAACAAGAGTAGAACAACAAAGAATCCCAATTTATCTGATTTCATCGTTTCACAATTCGGAGCACGAAACAAAAATTATGTGTTGTGGTTACGTGCGTTATGTGTTTGATGAAATGCATGAAAGAAATACCAAGGGTTTTTAAATGAAGATGTGTTGTCCGTAAAAGCATTGCTTGGATAATTAGAAGTGGGATTTCTTCTCATGCATACCTTGCGCGGGGTTCTTATTCTTTCCTTCCTCTCTTATGAACTCCTACACATAAAAAATACTTAAAAAATTATTGAGGCCGGATTGCTAAGTATAGTTGGAGTGTATTTATGTTTTAGTTTTTTTTTCTGAAATTCATTCATTTAAATTAATAGAATACATCGAATAATACAAATTTAAAATTTAAAATTGTTATAAAGTTTAAAGATGTGACGAAATTAAAATGCTCGAAATATCTATGTTTCTGAGTCTGCAGTGTTGAGGACGTCAAACTCATTGGTTGAATATGCACTGAATCGAAACTAATCTGTCAATCTGGATCGAGTAAACATTACACTAAAGACGAAAAAACCAAATATCAATCAACACAACGTCGAACTAAAACAACGAGATCACAAAGGAAAAAACTAAAAATATACGTGAAATCATTTATTTGAATGAAAAGGAAAAGAAAAAAAATTCAGAAGAGTGATTTTAGATTAAAAATTGATCTTAAAACTGTTGAGAATAAAATGTGAGGAAGAAGTCCCAGATTGAGCACTTATATATGAGAGAACTCACTCATCTATCACCTTAAGGTTTTAGATGGACAAGTGGTGTGTCTCTCATAAAGGTGTGTCCCAAGTAAAATGCTCTCTCCTCGGAATTGCCCCTACAGTGGTATCATGAGCCTTTGGTTTCGAGATAGGGACCAACTTACTTGTATC